AAAGATCAACGCAAACTATTAAATCAATGGAGAGAATTAATCACTAAATGTAGACATAGAAATAGAATCAAAATTACCTAAGAATACATGTGTATATATGTGGGGGGGTGTATGTGTGCGTATAGTGACATGGCTGTATGGACATTGTTATGGTCCGGTTCCTTGTACCACGGTGATAGTCCAAGGTAGAACCAATAAAGAAGAACTCGAACATGGATATGGAATAACACAGATATATTACAAACAGAAATATATACAGAGAAGTAGAAAGTGTTAGTACGAACAATCAGGTTTAGTAGGGAGAACAATATAGTCTCGACCAGTATCACTATTCAATGTCTTGTAGTAATTGAACGCGACTCTGTTTCGGACTGCCTCTGACTCGACTGACTGACTCGCTTGCTCTGACTGACTGACTGACTCCTGACGGACTTCACTCCAGACTTCAGACTGAACGGTATTTAGTCACCCCTCCACGAGGGCATCATGTGGCACAAGGCCGGTTTAACGTGGGATCTCCGAGCTCGTGGGCTCGACCAAAAATACGCCTTTTGAACCCGTATAAACGGGTTCAGGGTCGGTTTACCTCCCCGAAAGAGACTCTGTCCTTCGGTGTAGCCTCGTTCGGGTTCCTCCCCGCCCGAAGGCAGAGAGTTCAACCGATCAGTCGGTCAGCCGGACGTCCGACTTCAGACTGAACTCCCTGCTTCCTCTTGAGGCGCAGTATTTATTACGTATGGAATAGTCAATTATGTTATTATGGGTAAGGTCCCATAACAGACATGTTAATGTATATATATGTATGTATAAAGATATGCACGCAAATAAGTGTGTTGGACAACATGATTTATTCTATTGGGTGCTCTTGTATTATCCACAATCTATAAATCTATATTTCAACTGCTTTACATTAATCTTAACGGGCTTAAGTTTAAATCCCTCATCGTTGATTAATAATACTGGACACCTGTAGTACAAAAACTATTTACTGGAAATCCCAGAAAAACACACTTGAGGCTCGTATAAGGAGCGCCACATAGTAGGAACTGATATTAAACTACAAACAACGAAAGGTCCTGGCCATAAATAAACTTCAACCCCAGGCTGCTTCCTCCAGAATAAGATACATTAAGTAGCCACCAATTGCTAACACAAACCCATTCTCATTAACAAGAGGATTGCCAGAGGAGGACTGACATTGAAAATAAATTTAAAACAATGCTCCGAGACAGACACTTAGGGGCTGATGATAGCCGCGTACAGAACGGCTTGAAATGGGCTATCCCATGTTATGATAATTTTTTTTTTTTATATATATATATATATATATATATATATATATATATATATATATAAATATATATAAAGTTGCAAATTAAAAAACATAATAATGTTTTTTTTCATGAGACTATATATTTATTTATATATATATATATTTGATATTTCAGATTGACCAGAAATAACAGTTTGTAGCGTCCGTCACGAGATGCGGACGTCACGTGATATGGAACGCCACTGTGTTCGAATATTCCTAACGTAAATCTAACTGTAATAATATTTTAGATGTTGTTTAAAAAAAGAAATTAGCTAAAAAAATGTTTAACTATTGAAATATTTATAAAGATTTAAAATACCCAAGTCTTTATTTAACACTAGTTTATATGTATTTAATTTTAAAAACCAGTATTTTTTTTTTTTTTTTCGTGTGTATGTGGAACTGAAATCAGAATATATATACGTATATATATATATATATATATATATATATATATATATATATATATATATATATATATATATATATGTTCAAGCATTTTACATTGAAATCCATAGACGTATTATGCCTATTTATTTTTATAATAATCCTTTCTAGTTCTCGAATTAGCTACATGATTGTTATATACTATACCTATGAAATACTAATGGGTTTGTCCCAATCGTCATAAATATGTTGGACACTATTGTAAGTGGGGGTCATATGATGTCTACGTAGTCCACCACTTTCAGTTGTTTATCTATTTCACGTCGCTGGCGAGTATTGTATTTTGTTGATGTTATAAAGATCGACATTTCATTTTTAACCTCTGTTTTCGTTATTCCTCATTCAGTAACCTTTTCTAGGTGACAACACAAAGGGATCTGTTGTTGGCCACGATCAAAATCAATTAGTGATTTTATTGGGCTACTGAAGTTATTGATCAATCCATTTCCTCAAAAGCAGGTAAATATCGTAATATGGTGTCTACGTAGTCCACCACTAGCAGTGGTTTACCTACTTCACGCCGCTGGCGAGTATTGTATTTTGTTGATGTTATAAAGATGACCATTTTCATTTTTAATCTCCGTTTTGGTTATTCCTCATTCAGTAACCTTTCCTAGGTTACAACATTTTTAAACCGACATTTAGGGGATAGTCGTATTTGAAATAGACACCACATTCATATATTCACTGTATCACATCTATCGGCCTTCACATGCGAGAAATTGTAACAAAGAAAAAGCGTTCTCCATTAAGGACCGAACCTATGTTCCCACTTCAGAATTTGGATGTTTGATTGTAAATACTAAGGATTCGGTGGGAGTATGTCTGTTTAACTCTCCAGAAAAAAAAATCAGTATCCATATAATCATTATTATTTGTGCATTTACTTCTTTGTATCCCGTAGAGCCGGGTCCAAACTATGGTCCTTAGGCCCTATAAGATAATTGTCATTTAATTGATAACCCTTTTCTTAGTATATCAGATGTTCCCAGTAGGACGTTTTTCTGGGCAACTTGTATGTTGATGTTAACACAATCACTGTTAGTTAAATTGTCCATTCCTTTTCTCACGAGGCCCAGAGCTCCGATAAATATCGGTACAGTTTAAGTCTTCATTACTCACATTCTGTTAATCTCCATCACCAGATCCTTGTATTTAGACAATTTCTGGAATAATTATTATTATTATTATTATTATTATTATTATTATTATTATTATTTGCGCATGTTATGTTTTCTATTTTGTTTCCTGTAGAGCTGGGACCAAAATATGGTTCTTAGGCCCCATAGGAGAATTTTCATTTAACTGATAGAACTTTTCTTAGTATATGGGATGTTCCTAGTAGGACGATCTTCTGGGCAACTTGTATATTGACGTTATCTGGGACACTGTTAGTAAAATTGTCCATTCGTTTTCTCACGAGGCCCAGTGCTCCGATTATAATTGGTCAGTCTCAGTCTTCATTCCACACATCCTGTTACTCTCGATCTCCAGGTCCTTGTATTCGGACAATTTCTTGATAATTTTCATGGAGGTGTTTCTCTCAGATGGCACTGCTATATCAATAAGCATACACTTCCTGACACAAGATGATCAATTGCTCTGGGTATTTATCACATTATTATTATTATTATTATTATTATTATTAATAATAATAATAATAATAATAATAAGGAGGCACTTTTTGTTTGAGGTCTTTAATAACAATATCTGGGCGGTTGGCTTTGATTCTTCTGTCAGTGTGTATTGTGTAGTCCCATAGAATTGTAACAGGTCCTATCTCCGTAACCGGGTCTGGGTGGTGTTCATACCAGTTTCTTTCAGTTTCCTTCCCGTATAAGTTGCAGATTTTCCAGTGCAGATATTGGCCCACTCTGTCATGTCGGGTTTTATATTCAGTGAATACCAATACCGTGCAACCTGATACAATACGATCAATTGTTTCTAGATATTTATCACAGAAACTGCATTTTGTACTAACACAATATTTTAGTATGTGTGCTTGATAATTTCTAGTTAAAAAGCATTGGTCCTGCGCAGCAAGGATAAAACCTTCAGTTTCAGCTTCTTAAACCTGCACTATGTAGCCACTGATGAGTACCGGGTTTGTCTACATCAGCTTGTTTGGTACAGGCAGAGTATTGGTCATGAAGCGGTTTATTTTGCCATCGTTTTTGTATTTGGTCAGTTATTATTATCATTATTATTATTATTATTATAAAAAACCTAATAGAGATGTTGCATAATGGATAACCTCCATCAGGTGGTAGGGTGGTAGCACCTGTTAGGGTTCCGGCTATGGGCATCCATACATCCAAACGCTATGAAAGTATGAAAGTAGATTTTTATAGTAAAAATACCAGTAATACATTCTTATATCAAAATTTTACCAACGATTCATATTCATACTAATATTACCAACAATACAATTTTAAATCTGAATTACCAATAATAATTGTTATAGCAAAATGGTCAATAACATATTTTACCTGTAATTAAAGTCATCAAACTATGTTCAAAATAATTTCGGCACTAAATAACCCATAGCGGCTGATATGACGTTAAAGAGAATCAAGCAATCAAACTGTACGTTCTCCGACTGAGAGCACATTTCACAGATTATCTTCAATGATAAGCAACGTAGAATTCTGAAGCGATCGGATGCTTGGCATTATTCTGACTATATTTTTTTTTAATGTGGGTCCTTAATTTTGATGCTATGGACACCAACGCCCCAATGATGACAGGGAAAATAGGTACTTGAACGTCCGTCATCCTGGCAACCTCAATCCGGAAGTCAGTGTAATTTTTCAGCTTTGCAAATTTCTTTAGCTTTGAGGTAATGGTCATCATGAACAGAGAAATCGATGGTGAGACATTTTTTTTTCTTTTTCTATTTGCTTTTCTTTCTTTCTTTTTTTTTGTCTTTTCTGTTTTTCTTTTTGTTTTTGTTTTTTGGTTGTTTTTCTTTTTCTTTTTTTTTTTTTTGGCCTTTTTTTCAAAGACAGTGATGTCTGTTTTAGTGGCCTCAAGACCGCACTCTATTTGGATGCTGAAATCCCATATGATCTTGACATGGTCGATTTCGTTCACCTTATGGGGTTTTATAAACTATATAATATTAATAAAACGAACAATAATAATAATGCTGGTTCAGATCAAGCAAGTGACAATCAAATCTGAAATACTGAACGTGAAAATCCATCAAAACAAAATATGTCAATGTTAACACAATCTGTCAATTAAGATTACATACATAGATAGATAGATAGATAGATAGATAGATAGATAGATAAAGAAACGAGATAGAAAGATATATAGTTAGATAATGAACAGACTGAGATAGATAGATAGATAGATAGATAGATAGATAGATAGATAGATAGATAGAAAATGGACAGACTGAGATAGATATAAAGATAGATAATGAAAAGATTGAAATAGACTGAGATAGACAGATAGATAGATAGAGTGAGATATATAGATAGATATTAATAGACTTAGATAGATAGATAGATAGATAGATAGATAGATAGATAGATAGATAGATAATGAAAAGATTGAAATAGGTAGATAGGTAAATAGATAGATATTAATAGACTGCGATATATAGATAGATATTAATAGACTTAGATAGATAGATAGATAGATAGATAGATAGATAGATAGATAATGGACAGACTGAGATAGATAGATATAAAGATAGATAATGAAAAGATTGAAATAGACTGAGATAGATAGATAGATAGATAGATAGATAGATAGATAGATAGATAGATAGATATTATTAGATTGAGATATATAGATAGATGTTAATAGACTTAGATATATAGATAGATAGATAAATAGATAGATAGATAATGAAAAGATTGAAATCGATAAATAAATAGATAGATATTAATACACTGCGATATATTGATAGATATTAATAGACTTAGATAGATAGATAGATAGATAGATAGATATGCATAATCTTAGATAGATAGATAGATAGATAGATAGATATTAAAAGACGCAGAAACAGATAAACCGAAAAGAATGTTAATTGACAGGAACAAAATAACATAAACAACATTTTAAAATGATCTATAAATATGTGGAAATAAAATAATAAATAAATGTCTCTAAAGCTTATATTTATATCTGAGATCATTTACTGCCTTAATACAGCAAATATTCTTTTTCGTCAGAATTGGCCATCCGTCAGTGCAAAATTTCCAAAATATGGCATTTTACTCGGTGTATTCATCTGTTGGACTGAGTATCTCTCCCACTTGATCGAGTTTACCGGTCGTGTGATTCGAATTCTCCTAACAAGGAACTCAAATCACACTTTGAAGCCGTTTAAAAAGAAAATAAAACCTCAATGAGGCTCACAATCAGCCCTCTCAAATCCCATTCCCAAGCGCCAAACCTAAGCACCTCATACCGACCGATTTGGCGGGAAGCGCTGGTCGACTAGTGATTAAATTACACAGCAAGCTTACTGATCTGCGCGTCAGGCCGGACACTTCAGCCAGCGCTTTTTCCGTCAGCAAATGCCACTCCCTGAAGCCCGTACCCTCCAAACCCCAACCCCCGATCCCGGCCGTGTGAAGTCTACATCCGACGTGCCGATTGGACTGATTGCCTGTCGTATCGATTACCCGTTCTCAGGCGACCTTCAGTAGCTCAATGATCGCTGACGATCGTCATCGCCATTCGGCGGCATTATCTTCCCGCCACTTCCCGTCGCATTTGCGCTCAAACCATTTCATATTGCTATCACCGGTAGACCAGTTTAGAAGTAGAGGACCAGAGACGCTGTTGCTACGGTGGAAAGAAAAAAAAAACCCTCCGAGGCTTTGATTGGCCTGAAATAGAGTAATGAAAAATAAAATAGATGTTCTGAACTGTCAGAAGTACAATGGATTCAGTTTGTCTGAACACACACACACACACGCGGGGCGGACACACACACAAATATATATATATATATATATATATATATATATATATATATATATATATATACACATATGCATACATAGTTATATGTGTAAATATAGATATATGCTTCATAGCTCTATTTAATTCTAGTGAACACTGTTTTGCCTACACCATTGATTATTTGTTATTTGTTCACCTGTATATGTACGTAAGCGCTCATATATTGGTTGATCGTTTCTCTTTATATATATATATATATACATATACATATACATACAGTGCTGTTCGATAAAAATGACTCACCTGATTTTTTTAATTGAAAAATATTTTCGCCTATTGTTTTTGGGGTCAAACTAATTTTTAATCTTACTAATATAAAGACCTCTTCCCGACCACCTAGTAAAAAACTTTACCCACCCTAAGGTATTCTATTGATAATTATAATTTTGGATATAAATATGATTTAGGGAAAAACTCTATGCAAAAAAAGTGACTCACTTCTTTCCTGTAACTAGTAATCAATAGAAACATAACCGAACAGCTTTAAATAAAGAATAATAGAGGTATAATTTATTTATAATAGGTAATATAGTTCGAAATATTTAATAATCTATGGGTCCTCCTTTATTTTGAATAACCTTTTCAACCCTTTTTGGCATTGACTTGATTAGGTTCTGGCAAATCTCATCTCCAAGCATTGAATTCCATTCAGATATGAAATTCACAATCCTCTTTGTTGCTCAACTGCTTTCTCGAGAGCATGTACTTTATAATGCTCCATAAGTTTTCTATGGGGTTGAGGTCAGGAGATTGGGGCGGTCATGCCATAACACTCACCTGCTTCTCATCAAAGTATTCCTTCATCAATTTTGATTTGTAACAAGGAGCATTATCCTGCATAAAAATGAGCTTGGTGGGGTCGATTTGCACCCTTTCAGCAGAAGGGAGCAGACAAGACTCTAAAATTCTCTTGTACTGCTCGCTCCTGAGGGTCTTTTCAATAGGTTTTAATAAACTAGTTCCATGAAAAGAAAAACATCCCCAGAACATTATACTGAACGGATGCTTGACAGTACTTACTGCTAAATTCAAAGAGCTTTCAAAGCTTCTTCTTCGGATTTTAGATCGCTTATCCTTTGAATTTAGCTCAACTTTCGTTTCATCGGAGAAGAGAACATTTTTCCAGTCTTCTACGGTGAAATTGTTGTAATAGTGAGCCCATTCAAGTCCCTTGGCTTTGTTGGCTTTGCTTATTAGAGGCTTAAACCTTTGTGTACAAGATTTGTAGCCTTGTTGTAACAGCCACCGACGGACTGTTGAAGAGGCAAGGCTAACACCTTGCTCTTCGCTTAGACTGGCTGCAATTTCTTGGCTTGTTATAGTCCTATTCTTCGGAACTTCTTTCTTGATTACCCAGCCAGTTATATCATCAATCTTTTTTTTTTTTTCGTCCCCTTGTTTCCTTCCTTGGAGCAGAAGTGACATCATTATGTGCCCTGAGCACTCGGGAGACAGTTGATTGCGAGGTTATAGCAATTTCTGCAATTTCTCTCGTAGACTTGCCTGCTTTTGAGAGGGCAATAATAGATGTCTTAAGTGGTTCTGATGAGTGTTTGTACCCTTTCATCTGGTTAGTGACTTGAGTGGCTATTTCAAGCTGTTTTTATACTGTATGAGGCTTTCTGGAATATTCTGGAATACTCTAGATTTAATTTAAGCTGTTCTAGAATTCTCTAGAATATTGTTCTGAGTGTATTGTAAAATAGTTTTCAATATTTTAACAAAAGCTCTTTAAATTTACCAGTTTAATCATTAGAATGCGATATCTGAGTCACTTTTTTTGAACAGAGTTTTTTTTCCTGAATATCATTTATATCCAAATTTATAATTATCAATAAAATACCTTACAGTGAATAAACTTTTTCCTAGGTGGTTGGGACTTTATATTAGTAAGATTTTAAATTATTTTAACACCAAAAAAAATAGACAAAAATATTTTTAGTAAAAGAATCATAGCATAAATATGTTATAACATCACTACAAAAATAGCCATTTTGTTTCAACACTTCTGTTGTCTTATGAAGTGATGGTGTTGAGTGTAGAACTTAGATTTCTACTTTCAGCACCATCACTTGATTAAATAATATTTGCTCTACTCTTTATTGAGCACTCTTTTAAAAATAATATATATATATATATACATATATATATATATATATATATATATATATATATATATATATATATATATATACAGTGCTGTTCGATAAAAAAAACTCACCTGAATTTTTTACTTAAAAATTTTTTTTTCTATTGTTTTTTTTTTGGGGTCAAACTAATTCTTAATCTTACTAATATAAAGACCCTTCCCAACCACCTAGTAAAAAAAAGTTTACTCGCCCTAAGGTATTCTATTGATAATTATAATTTTGGATATAAATGAGATTTAGGGAAAAACTCTGTGCAAAAAAAAAAAAATGACTCACATATTTCCTGCAATTAGTAATCAATAGAAACATAAGCGAACAACTTTAAATAAAGAATAATAGAGGTATAATTTATTTATAATAAGTAATATAGTTCGAAATATTTAATGAATCTATGGGTCCTCCATTATTTTGAATAACCTTTTCAACCCTTTTTGGCATTGATTTGATTAGGTTCTGGCAAATCTCATCTCCAAGCATTGAATTCCATTCGGATATGAAATTCTCAATCAAATTCTCTTTGTTGCTCAACTGCTTTCCCGAGAGCCTGTACTTTATAATGCTCCATAAGTTTTCTATGGGGTTGAGGTCAGGAGATTGGGGCGGCCATGTCATAATACTCACCTGCTTCTCATCAAAGTATTCCTTCATCAATTTTGATTTGTGACAGGGAGCATTATCCTGCATAAAAAATGGGTCCTGCTTTATTTTTGGCATTGACTTGATTAGGTTCTGGCAAATCTCATCTCCAAGCATTGAAACGGATGAAACGGCTTTTAGGCCGTTGTGTGAAAATATTACCAACAATACATTTTTGGAAAAAAAATACATACACACCTTTTTAACCAAACTATCGCCATGAATCTGTTCTAAAATTTTGTTGACATTACATGACCCAAAGAGGTTTTGTTATATATTCTTGTGTATATTATATATATATATATATATATATATATATATATATATATATATATATATATATGTATAATAATTTTATCATATAGGCAAAAACAGTTTACTCAGAGTGTAAACTGTTTTTGTCTATCTGATAAATTTATGATAAATTATTATCGCTCTACTATCTGTATCGAACCCTGTTTTGGATTAATGCTGTGTCAATAACAACCAGTATTATCTGCTTTGCAAACAGATTTAACCAAGAGGAGCAACATCCTCGGCTGATGTAAACTCCGGCCTTCTACAGGTATCTGCCACATTACGTACTTTAATATTCGGACCAAAAGGCTCAATTTCGTTTTTATGTTAACGTCATCTCGGCCGTTGTGTGACAAGCACGTTTGTTATAATCAGAGTGTATCGCCCTTTTCACTCTATGCGCTTCTTCATGGCGTTCTGGGTAAGACGATAAACTACGTCCAGCAGCAAGGCCTCTGATCAGGAGGTTTTGAGGAGCATGGAACCACCTCTTAATTGTTGGTGTTCCCAGGTCCACCATGACCCGGGGTGGTAGCACTTGTTAGGGTCCCGGCTATGGGTACATAGTAACCTTCAAACAAGAAAAAAAAGAAAATTACCAACAATACATTTTTTGAAAGAAAAATACCAACAATACATTTTTTGAAAGAAAAATAAAATTACCCACAATATATTTTTTGAAAGAAAAAAAATTAGCATTAGTATTTCACCAGCCACAGATCCATCGTTGAAGCCCAAAGGAAATTCTAACAGAATTTTGGAAATCGACAGGCCCCCATCCCGAAAGGTAATCCTTTCCGTTGTTACAAACTTACTAAGGCTCCCAAGAAAATTAAATTTCGACATTAAATGACCCATAAGGAGTTGATATGCCGCTAAACAAACATTTGAAAAGCAAAATGGCCAGCAATACATTTTATCTCGAGTTGTAGGCATACAGTTTCGTTCAAAATATATTTAGTTGAAGCCATAAAACTATATTCGAATTTAGATTTCGGCATTAAATGACCCATAGCGGTTGATATGCCACTAAACAAAATCAACCAACACATAATAATAATAATAATAATAATAATAATAATAATAATAATAATAATAATAATGATAATAATAATAATAATAATTCAC